AGTCACTGTCTCTAGAAGCTTCACCACAGACGCAGAGTGACTTCCTTGGGAGCACAGGGCTGATTTTCAAGGCTCTCCATCACCTTGGCTTCAGCCAGGGACAGTAAAGCAGCAGCCCAGAGTGGCTGGCTATTCCCCAGGACATCTCGAGGCAGCCAGGCCATTCCTGCAGAAGGAAGAGAACCGTGATAACAAGGCACGGCCACCAGTTTAAGCCACTTGGGCCCCTTGGCTGTGTGGGTTCCCCCACTGGCCACAGGCCACTCCGTAACCGCACTGGCATCCTGCCACGTGTGGAAGAAGCTAGGTGGATTTGCCCAAGAGAGACAGCCCAGCCGCGGCTCATCAAGAATTTTCTGGGGGCGCCTGGGTGGCTCAGTTGTTAAGCGTCTACCTTCAGCTCAGGTCATGATCCTGGGGTCCTGGGATCGAGCCCCGCATCGGGCTCCCTGCTCGGCGGAAAGCCTGCTTCTCCCTCTCCCACTCCCCCTGCTTGTGTTCCTGCTCTCACTGTGTCTCTCTCCGTCAAATAAATAAATAAATAAAACTTAAAAAAAAAAAAAAAGAATTTCCTGTAGACCAGGCACATCAGACGTATCTTCTGAAGCATCCCGTTATCTCGTGGGGTTGGTATATCACTACTCCTGCTTCATATATATGAAGAAACAGAAGTTCAGCGAGGTTGAAGACTGCTTGGCTTGTCCAAGACAGCACAGCTATGAAAAGAGAAGCTGGAATTTGAACCCAGGCTTATCTGCTCTCGGCGATCATCAGGCTCTAAGAGCCCCATGCTGGCTTCTACCAGATAGCATAACCATCTCCCTCATCCTCAGAACTGGCCAGTGGAGGCCAGGGGCTGCCTTCTCCACTGAAGGTGTCGCAGGATGGGTCAGTTTTCTGGGGTTGCGGCAAGAAATGACCACAAACTGAGGGGCTTAAAACAACAGGAATTTATTCTCACACAATTCTGGAGGCCAGAAGTGTGAAAGCAAGGTGTTGGCAGGCCTGTGCAGCCCCCAGAGGCTCTAGAGGAGGATCCTTCCTTGTCTCCGCCAGCTTTGGGTGGTGGCTGGCTTCCCCGGTTTGTGGCCGTATCCCTCCAATCTCTGCCTCTGTCTTCACATGGCCTTCTTCCCTCTGTGTCCTCTCCCCTTCTCTGCTCGTCCAAGGACATTTGTATTGGACTTGGGGGCCCATGATAATCCAGGACAATCTCATCCCAAGATCCTTAACTTCGTTACATCTGCAAAGATCCCCTTCCCAATAAGGTCACATACACAGGGTCCAGGAGTTTGACTCTGAATCTTTGCAAGGATGAGGAATGCGTTTTTCAGCCCACTGCTTAGAGAAGTGATGAAGCAATTTATCCAGTAAGGGTCTTTATGATTTTGCAGGCCTGCCTGCAGGATTTATTATAAAACTTTTAAATATTTTTGCCATCCCATGTCTTCTTTCTGAAACAATGAGTCTGGGGGCACCTGGCTGGCCCCATCGGTAATCTCAGGGTCCTGAGTTCAAGCCCCACTCTGGGCATGAAGCCCACTTAAAAAATAAAAATAAATAAATAAATAAATAAATAAAACAATGGGTATAAACAATAACAATGAACATCTGATAAACTCTCACCAAAGTTCTGGCACTTAGGGTCTTTTAGTGCTCACAGATACTCTGCAATATAGACACTGTTCTTTCCTCGCCAGTTGGGGTAGGAAAATAAAATTACCAGAGGGTAAGAGATCTCATAGATCTCCAAGATCTCACAGCCAGGAACCGGCAAGGGTAGGACTGGAACTCCATTCTGTCTGATTCTGGAGTCTGAGCTCTTAGGCAGGATGCAAAACTGCCTTTTCTTGGAAATTTAGGACTTGGTCGAGAGGCTGTGGTTTGGAAAGAGGTGGAGGTATGGGGCGATGGGACAATTTATGCCTGTTTAGCCAAGAGTTATTCTGGGGCAGTACATCCAGAAAGACTGAGAACCAGGCATTTGGATTGGGAAGGCCATCACTGAGTTGCTTTTTCCATAGGATTGAGGACCACTGTGTTTTCTTTCTCGTGGCTGAGACTGGAATCTTCCGGCAGAGAAACAGGAAGTGGGAAGCAAATGAGAAAAGGCCTATTTTTATTGTTTTCCAGATTCCAGTTGGGTAACATCTGCCAATAGTTATATTCTTATTGCAGGGAAATTTTTACTTTTGTTGAGCCACCATCTGACCCAGGAGACTGGGCAGAGCACAGAAGGCGAAATCAGCGCTGTTGACTTGAGGATGGCTGTGAATGGCAGGGGACTTCTGTTCCTGTTGTCTGGTGACCGCATCTACCGAGCCCGGCTCCCGGCTGCACGGGATCCAGTCTCCTCTGCGGTCTGAGCTGCTGATGGCTAGGTGCTGCAGGCATTGTCTCATTTGAATTTCTCGACAATCCTGTGAAGCCAGATCAATAGTGACCTCATCGGATGTTCAGGGAGGTCAAAGTCATGCTGAAGGTCACCTGGGATGTCTCCAGGTTGCCTGAGTCCAGAGTCTGAGATGGTGGCTGCAGCAGCACTGTCTCTCAAACCCATGTACCAAGAATGCCCACAGTCTCGTGGAGAAGAAATGTAGATAAGGCGAAGAGGAAATTCGCTCATTCATTTGTTCACCCACCTATCCATCCATCCATCCATCCACCCGTCCATCCATCCATCCATCTGTCCATCCATCCATCCGTCCATCCATCCATCCATCCGTCCATCCATCCATCCGTCCCATCCATCCATCCATCCGTCCATCCATCCATCCATCCGTCCATTCATCCATCCGTCCCATCCATCCATCCATCCGTCCATCTATCCATCCGTCCATCCGTCCATCTATCCATCCGTCCATCCATCCATCCATCCGTCCATCCATCCATCCGTCCCATCCATCCATCCATCCGTCCATCCATCCATCCGTCCATCCATCCATCCGTCCGTCCATCCATCCGTCCGTCCATCCATCCATCCGTCCATCCATCCGTCCGTCCATCCATTCATCCATCCATCCCATCCATCCATCCATCTATCCATCCATCCATCCGTGTGTACCTGTGTCAGCACCACGTGCCAAGAAAGCTAGGAAAATCCCTTCGTGCATATGTATGCCTTGGGTCTGTGGCCAGCACCTCGCTGGACTGTGGGAATACCAAGCCATAGCCTTAAAGAAAACAATAACGATCCATCTAGGACAGTGCGGTCAACGCTATTGCAGAGATACGGAAGGAGAGATCAAGAGAGGCGAGGGGGTCAGGAAGGCTTCCTGGAGGAGAAGACCCTTGAGTTGAGATCTGAAGGAGGAGAAGGACAGAGAAGGAAGGGCCGGCCCCAATTTTCGGCAGTGCAGAGACTCACGTGGTTATGCCAGGTAGAACATGTGATTACCTCCATAGGGATGGGTCAGTCGCCGGTGGCTGGAGCCCACCAAGCGCCTGACCCTCACTTCCCCAGAATGCAGAAATGAACGAGTTAAGGTACAGAGGGAAGCTCCGGGCCTTGGCCTCATTGCCACTCTTCAGTCCTTCCCAGTTGATGCCACCCTGGTGTTACCTCTTGATTTTTCACCTCTGGGCCAGGGAGCAGTTGCGTTGAGAAGGCACAGAGGTGGGTCAGGCAGGCAGCCAGCTTCCTGGAAAACAGGGAGCCACAGAAGTGCTGGCGGTAAGGCTGGAAAACTAAGAACAGGCCCCGGGGAAGGACAGAAATAGACTTCATCTTGAAGGTAATATGGAGCCATTGGGGTTTTTTTTTTTAAGGCATGTTATTTTTTTATCCATGTGTAATTATACACAGTGTAATGCGTTCTTCTAAAGTCTACAGTTTGATGAGGTCTGACAAATGTTTACCCCCATGGGACCACCACCCCTACATCCATGTAGAACATATCTGTTCCTCCAGAAAGTTCCCTCTGTCCCATCTGCAGGAGGATTTCAGTTAGGGGAGTTACGTGGTTACACTTTGCATCTTTCTATCTTGGATTTAGAAAATACTTTTGCTTATTTCTTGCGCCCCTTTTGTATGCTGCACACTGTTCTGGCTGTAGGGAAGAGAGATGGGATACATTTGGGTAGAGAAATGCAGAAGGCAAAGAGCTGGTTTTGCGGGCCTTCAACCTCTGCAGTCACTGGGGCTCGACATTTGGTTGAATGTCCTGCCGTCGCCATCTTGAAATTCTTAAGTTTTGAACAAGGGAATCCATGTTTTTATTTTGCACCAGACTCCGCCCCCCCCAACAAAATAATAGAGCTGGGCCTGATGGATAAAGGGAATTAACAGGGAGCCCAGAGAGAGGATATGGTGGAGATGGGGAGGGGTCTTACAATCTTACAAAGAAGACCCTCTTGGGAAGAGTGAGGCAAGAAGCCAGTCAGGTACAGAGTGAATGTCACAAGAAGGATCCGATCTGCCAAAGTTCTCTTTCGAGGGATAAGCACACCATGATGGAGACATTTCATATCTGCTGTTGTTCCTATAACTCTACCCACAGCACCAGTAAATGTATATGGGCTCAATTAATTACCATGACTAACACACCTGACAAGCCAAATATTAGCTCGAGAGAACTGAGCACACTTACAAGTATTAAGTACAGATACAAATAATTAACAATAAGCTCACTGGCATTATTATCTTCTAATTAACCATTAAAAAAAATCACACCTTAATCCAGAGCAAAATGAAAACAAAAGGAAAGCGAGACCCCTGCCAGTTCTGGAAATGCAGGTGATATAAGGAAGAGAGATATGGTTTGGTGGATTTTAATTTGCACTAATGATGAATTTCATCAGCCTTCTTTTGCTAATAGCAGAGCCAAAATACGTGCCTTGGTCCCCGTTTCTCCCTGCTGAGGCCAGATGTCCGATGGGAAGGGTTTGGCAGAGGGCTTACAGGAGACATCATTACCAGAGGTGGGAGGAGTGACATTGGCATTCCCCTGGAAAAATCCATCTCCATCAGCCTCAGAAACAACCTCTTGTCTCATCTCCAGGATTTGGAGCAAAGAGAAGGTGAGCTGGAAGGAATCCATTGTCTCTTGGTGATTGGTTCTTCTTCCTGAGAGAGGTTCTAGGTGAGTGGTTCAGCCGAAAACCCCCAAAATTAATACCTGCACTGCAGGTAAGTATTTCCAAAGCTAGGGAATCTAGAAACAACCATTTTCCCGACTGATGTTGCTTTCCAGACGCCATAAGGAAGAAGCTTTTGCAATTATCTGGAACAGTTGGCCCTAAAATCTCCATTTTGGTCTAAATGTTGTGGCTTTGCTGTGTTGGACTTCCCTGTTCTCTGGAAGGTGCAGACTTCCTTGTCTCCATTGTGTTAAAGGCTCATTGCCTTCGGTGGCCTCAAACTCACTGCAAATCACACAGCAACCTCAACAGCTTCCCTCTTGTTCACTTTCTTTCTAGCTCCCGATCAGCCCCTGCAGGGGAACACACTATACCCACCCTGATAATAATAGTGGCCACCATTACTTGTACTAGCTACATGGAGGCTCTGTGATAAGAGCTTTTGCCACATTATCTTATTTAATGCTCCCAACAAGAAATGGTGTCGGCTCTACCTTCAGAATGCGTTCAGAACCCGAGCATTTCTCAGCACCTCTATGCTACTACCCTGGTCCAAGGCCCCACCTTGTCTCACGTGGATTACTGCAGTCTGCACCCCCTGGTCTCCCTGGTGCTGCCCTTGTCTGTCTGTGGTCTATTTTCAACACAGCAGACTGAATGATGCTTTTGAAATATAAGTCAGTTCAGGTGAAAAACCTACAAGGGCTCCTTATCTCTCTCTCAGAGTCAAATCCAGAGTCCTCACTGTGGCCCACAAAATCAGTCCCTCTGTTCGCCCTCACATGCACTCTGGTCCAGGCCCACCGGTCTCCTTGCTTTTATGTGCACATGGCAGAACACTTCTGCCCCAGGGCCTTTGCACTATCTCTTCCTCCCACATAGCCACGTGACTTTTCTTTCTTCCTTCAAGTCTTTGTTCAGTTATCACCTTATTAGTGGGGGTTGTGCTGATCATATCATTTAAAATGCAGGCCTTCCCTCAGCCCTCCTGTTCTATATTTTCCACATAAAACTTACCATTATCTACCTACCTTATTATTACTTATTAGTATTGTTTATTGTCTGTCTTTTCCCGCAAGGGCTGGGATTCTTGTCTATTTCTATCAGTGCTGAAAAATGTATGTGTTGCACAGTAGGTGTATAATAAATCTTTGTTGAATGAATAAATGATCCATGAAGTATGTCCTATAATCAATCCCATATAACAGAGGAAGAACCTGAGGGTCTTAGAAGGGCTAAGTGATTTTCCCAAGGTAAGTTAGATCATGGCAAAGTTGGGACTTTAGCCCAAGTCTTACTGCCCATACTCAGAAGACATTATACAGAAACTCAGGGGAGGTTTTCCCCATTCATTTCATGTCCTCTAGGGTCCGGAGACTAGCCTTCTGGGGTTTGAAAAGCAAATCTTGATAAGGATAAACAAATAATTGCCATATGATCCCACAATTCTATTCCAATATATGTACCCAAGAGAAGTGAAAACAGATGTTCAAAGAAAAATGTATACAGGAATGTTCATAGCAGCATTATTCATAATATCTAAAAGATTAAACATCCAAAATGTCCATCATCTGATGAATGGATAAACAAGTTGTGGCATGTCCTTATGTTGGAATAGTATACAGCTATAAAGAGGAATGAGGTATTGCTTATAAGCTATGGCATGGATGAACTTTGAACATGTGATGTTAAGTGAAAGAAGCCAGTCACAGAGGGCCATACGTGGTATGGTTCCACATATATGAAATGTCTAGAATAGACAAATTCACAGAGACAGAAAGCACATTAGTGGTTTCCAGGGGCTGGGGGAAGAAAGAATGAATAGTAATGCTAATGGATGCCAGATTTCCTTTTGGAGTGATTAAAAAGTTCTAGATGCACCAGTGGTTGCCTAACACCTTAAATGCACCCAAGGCCACTGAATGGTACACTTTTAAAATGGTTAAGATGGTACATTTTATGTGAATATATTTTACCGCAATTTTAAAAAAAGTAAATCTTTCTCTCTCTTTTTTTTTTTAAAGATTTTATTTATTTATTTGAGAGTAAGAGAGAGAGAGAGCATGAGCAGAGGGGGAGGGGCAGAGGGAGAAGCAGGCCCCCTGCCGAGCAGGTAGCCCTACATGGGGCTCTGTCCCAGGACCCTGGGATCATGACCTGAGCCCAAGGCAGCTGCTCAACTGAATGAGCTACCCAGGCGTCCCCCAAAAAGTAAATCTTTCAGTTCCGGCCTTGGGGAAGGGATGTTTTAGTTTGGTTCTGGTTTGGAAGGCAGGCAGGTAGCGAAGGATGAAGCTCTTTTGTGGCAATGTAGACTAGGACAGGCTATGACCTATCAGATTAAAGTGTGTAACAGACTTGTATCTGTGGCTTGATTAGATCATTCAGACCATGGAGTTGAACCCTGGTCTTCCGTATCTTCAGAAATAGTGACAAGGCTGGCATGGTACTATTCAGACATGGCGGGAAGCCAATGCTGTATGTCCTTTTGCATTATCAAAGCCATATACCCTTGTTGTAAAAAAAAATCCAAATAAGAAGAAGGAAAGTTTCCTCTCTCACCGGTAGCTTTTCCACCCTGGGTGTAGCCATCACCATCTGTAACCTGGTGTGGATCCTTTCAGACCTTTCTCTACTCATATACAAACATCTACGTATAAATACACACATCTTGGGTGCCTGGGTGGCTCAGGTCATGATCCCAGGGTCCTGGGATCGAGCCCCGCATCGGGCTCCCTACTCCGCGGGAAGCCTGCTTCTCCCTCTCCCACTCCCCCTGCTTGTGTTCCCTCTCTCGCTGCGTCTCTGTCAAATAAATAAATAAAATCTTTAAAAATCAATCAATCAATCAATCAATAAATACACACATCTTTGATGAAGGCTGTTTTTGTTTTTTTTACAAAAATGAACCTCATACCATATATGTTGGTCTGCAGCTTGCCTTTCTCCACTCAATACTGTATCTTAAAAATCTTTCCACATGAATACATACAGATTTATCTTTCTTCATGGCTACAGAACATGGATATATCGCCATTGACACAATTAGTCTCCTCCTGTCTGATAATTATCTTGCCTCCAATTTCTCACCATCACAAACCAGGTTGTGAGGAACACCCTGTTCACATATTCTTGCATACTTGGGGGAGTTTTTCCGGGGGAGAGATTCCTAGAAGTGAAATTGCTGGGTTGAAGTCAAAGCCTTTCTATCCTGTGACTTTTTAAGAGCATATCAATTTGGGACACAAATGTGTATTGTCTCTGGCCTTAGGACAAAAAAACTAGAACTTCGAGCTTGAGGTCAGGCTTTGCTTAGCTCGGCGTCCCACCCTGCTTCTTGTACCCATAGCTATTCTCACTCGTTTTATAGGCTCACTGTCTCCAGATTGACTCCAGCAGAGGGAAAAGAAATCAGGTCCTTCTGTGCCATTCTTCAAACATTTAGAGGAAATTGATTTTCCACATGGGCTGTAGCCAAGCGAGGGATGCGCCGGCACAGAAGTCCCTACGACAGACCATTACTATCAGCACTTGCAACAATTAGACTCAACCCCACTTGTGATGTTTTATTAGTGAGTGTAATTCCTCATCAGACTAATATTGCAGATTGCCAAAAGCAGCATCAGTTCTAAAATAGGATTTACTTCATAATCCCTTTGAAGGGGAAGAACTTGTGGAGACTTGAAGCATCTGGAGAAAGAAAGCTTTTATTCTCCTGAGCAAGGACAAAAGGCAGTTTGGTCCAAGAAGCTCATAGCTTGCCTTTCCTTTGTTATGTTCCCTCTCACGGCATCAGCTGGGATGCTTTCACCTGCAAAGAACAGAAACACAGTCTCAGACTGGCTTCAATAATACAGCGATGTCATATACCTCTTAAACCTGCAGTCCCGAGGTGAGGCGTGTTTAGGGTTGGTTGATTCGGCGTCTCCACAATGTCATCAGGAATCCAGGTTCTTTCCCAAAGTGGTTAAGAGCTCTGGAACCAGCTTGTTTGGAGTGAGTCTCACGTCCACCTCTTAAGAGCTGTGTGACCTTGGACAATTTACTTAACCTCTGGAAGCCTCAGTTTCCTCATCTGTGAAAAACAGGAGGATAATAACACAACGACTTACAGGGATGTTGTGGGTAGGCAAACTTTCTCTATAAAGGACCAGATAGTAAATATTTTAGGCTTCGCTCTTGGCAAAATTGTTGGCAGTCTCTTCCACTTCTTCCCTTGGCTGCTGTAGAATGAAAGCAGCCACAGACAATAGGTAAATGAGTAGGCATGGTTCGGTTCCAATAAAATTTTATTTATGGACACTGAAAGTTGAATTTCATGTGTCCTGAAATACTATTGTTCTTTTGATTTTTATTCAACCATTAAAAACGTAAAAACCATTCTTAGTTCGTGGGCCACCCCAAAAGGCAGGGTCACCCTGCTGAGCTAAAGCATATAATACATTTAGACTAGGACCTGGCAGGCTCTAAAGGCTCAATAAATGTTTGCCACTGTTACTGTTGTTATTATGACCATCATCCTCGCTCTGCTCTTCCTCTCTCCATGTTGGCTTCCTCCCCAGTGTGGTAGCAAGACGGCTGCCTCAGTTCACCGTGGGGCATCCAGAAGAAAGAACGTCTCTTCCTATGATACTTTGTTAGGAGCAAGGAGATCTCTCCCCACCTGTCTCACAAGGCCCCGCAGGTCTCAGTGGACAGAATGGGATCACATGCTCTCTGCCCAACCAATCATTAGCAAGGGGAGGGGTTATCCTTCGGCCAATCAGGCCCACCTCTGGAGCTGGGGGTGGAGTCAGTTTGCCCTGAGTCACACGCTGCACAGCGTGAATGAATGCCTGACCCCGACAGAACTTCTGTTAGGATCAGGGGAGGTAGGGCTTGGATGCTGGGTAGGCAAGCAGCCAAGCTTGCCACACCCACTCTTTCAAATCCCCGTGAATTTATCACAAGCAGAGGACCCACTAATCCAGTTTATATATATATCGTCTTATAACAAGAGCCA